AATTCGTCGAATAAATTCAAATACAAAACAAATTTCAAAGCACATATCTTGTGTATTGCACTTCTCTTATATCTTTTATTATTAAATAATAAAATTATTATTGTATATCGTTCATTTGCTACAACAATGACACAACAAAAAATAAAATTTTCCAGAATATCAGTTTCAATATTTTGAATTATTAAAAAGTTGTAATATTAATTTTTAAATGCAATGTTGAGAGATAAAATAATTAATAGTAGAAAAATAAAAGTAGATTGCTTTAAAACATACTCTCTTTTTTTTTACTTTTTTTTTTCATTTTTACAAGCAACTAAAAAGTGACAATTTTTAGTTGCGTGTGTAGTAAGTGAGCGATATATCTTCTTAATATACATATAATACGATATAGTTATAATTTCTTTCTCTTCCTTTGTTGAAAATAAAAAATAATAATAGTAAAAAATAAAAAAAAAATCAATTTTTTACTGAATTGTTTACGGAGAAAAAGCAGAGGATCACAAAAGCGATTTGCCCTGAAAGGTGACCGCTGCGCGGAAAATCGGTCCGCATGATTTTTCTGATCGCGCCGGCACACGCTACGCCGTTTGTTTTCTAGCGTACCCAAACCGCATTGTATCCGACAATGCAATTTTCGTAAACTACGCGATACGGCGCAGCGCGACGTGTCGTCCGAATGTCAATCACGTACACGCGGCGTTTGTCATATTGCGCTGGTGCGTGCCAGTCGATTTCGCGTGCACGCTCTCTGCCATCCGAAACTGATAATGGGCGTTGCTCTGCGAGTAATGCGATACGTTTGTGCATTGCGCGCACGTACGCAAATGCGTGTGCACGCATACACGCACGTATTACACGTCAGTGTACGGCCTGGTGTGCATATTTAGTAAGATCAAACTCAAACGACTTTGCCATTATTTTAACTCTAAACGATGCAGCATCGTTTGTCCCTCCCGCGCACTGAGAGAAAAATGTTTGTGTTTGTGACTATAATTGCATGGTAAAATAATTATTATGATTAGAAGCTCCATTTATGGTTATTACTGCTATAACGTTAGCAATAATATGATATACTTAGCTATCTCGCGAATACGAAAAAATTATATTATAATTTATAATTTCAAATAACAATATAGAAAAAATAAAATAAATTATCAAGATGTAAATGACAAAACGTTTTTATTTATTAAATGCAATCGCAATTATATATTGAACTATTTTTTAACATTCACTTATTATTTATATGATAATAATAACTAAGAAATATATATGTTAAGAAAAAACTAAAGATTTCAAACAATATTAAGAATCTTTATTTTAGACCGCATATGTGAGAACACAACCAATACTATAGAAATTAAAATGCTTATAACGGTCGAAGCTGGATCTTCATTGCTTAAATAATTCAATCTTGAATTATTATATATACCATATATGTACTTGCGTGTATACCATATATTTGTAGTCTTTTCAAAGATTTTAAAGCAATATGTGTGTGACTATATTAAGCATAATTGATTACGTTATAGTCAAACTATGATAAAAAAAGACTATAAATTATAGTTAAATTGTGGTAATTGCAACTTTTTTTTTCTCTTAGTCCGACCACAAAAAAACATGATGTTTTATTACGTACACCACATGCACTTACAATACAGAAGATGTCTACTTATAAGTATAACGAGTATAACGATTGAAGTGACAATAATTATGTGCTGAATTATAATTGCACACTAAAGCTTGAGGGCATAGCGTGCATCATGTAAAATTGTAATTTTATGTGGAATATAAAATACGTATGAACGTATAATATAATATCATATGTCAAAAGTTACAATATAATTACACATTCATATAAATTCTACCACTATGATGATACTTATTTGTTGCATAAAAATAATTAAATAAGTTTCTGTTTTACTTTATTATATTACATTTCTCTCTTGTTTTATTTGTTATATGTAGAGTCACATAAAGAGATTATATCGTGCATTAAAAATGTACAAATTCACGTAAATTTTTATGTAAATGTTCTTGTACATGTTCCTAATATATTTAAAATCAGACAAGCGTTCAAAAGAATAGCGTTTTCAATTGAGGTAAAGGTTAACTATCGTTTCTTCCTTCGATAAGACCTCGAGAACGGGAAAGCCGGAAGTTATACCGAAAGATTTATGCGCTTCCGAGCTGTGGCTGTAGCTCTTGCTCCGATACTCACGCCCACGAGCGGCAGTAGATTACGTGGCATTTTTGCATCGTATCTTGTGCCCATGCTCTATTGGGATTTATGAGTTATGCAAACAACAAGGAAGTCTCGTCGGAGCTAAGGGTGAGAGAAGTGGCTCCACCTTCTTCCCTTTCTTGTACGACGCGTACACTGGTTTAATGCAGTTTTGTTTGTCTCTTTTCAATTCTATTGTAACATAATACAATTCAACTTACGTGTACTACACAATTTATATTTTATTAATTAATACGTTAGTATTAATGTGTTCATGTGGATTAATAAATAAATTAACATCACCTAAATATAAGAATGTCTACTATTTCTAGTGAACGTATTTATTTACTAGACGCAATGCATATATTTGCTACAACACATTAGTAAAAGCATAATATTGCGAGCTGTTTGTCATAGTAAACCTATACATTTTGGTACGTATATTGCTAATAAGTGAATATCTATATTTACACCTTTACTATGCATATATGATATATATATATATATATGCACATATATGTATATAGATTTATGCGAGTACATTACACATAAATTTTTTTCTTTTAAAGTTGTCATTTAATTGATAATTAACCGTATTTAATGAAATTCTATTAATGAACTTTATATAAAATTATAATTAAATCAATATAAAACAATAAAATAAAATAAGATATATACATATATAATGTTATGCAAAAGACTTATATAAAATAATAGTAGGTAAGACATACTTGGCACTGAAAAGTTATATATATATATATATAAATTATTTATAACACAATAATGAAAGCCGCGTGGGTGGAAAAGGCAGATGCGCCTGTCCAAAAAGGAGACTAGCCTCTTCGCATTGGTCCAACTGTGGTTTCCATGGACGCAAATAATCGATCTGTTCGCCGCTGACGTTTGTCTCTTCCACAGAGCATGCTCCAATGAAACCGGCTTTTCTCGGTCGAGTCATTGCGTAATAATACATTATAATATGCATATATATTATATGCATCATATAAAATGTGTAACAAAGTAATTTTAGTAACTTAAACCTGAATTTTAAGGTAGATATAAAATTAGCAACCAGCAAAATTATAAATTAAAATTTTAATCATTGAATATGAAAAGAAATATGTAACATTGGTCGATATTTTAATTCTTTATAACAACTAATAATATTTTTAGCAACACAGGATACGTTGATAATTAATACTATTTATACTATTTTTTTATTATAATTTCTCTAAATATATATAACATGCAATATACAACATAATATACAACAAAATAACGAAATATTAATTTACTGTCATATTATTTACATTAATTAGTAATTTCGTTATTGATATACTCGTCGGTGCAATCGTTTAATTGCGCGAGTATAGGCGCTATCTTGTATACCAGATTACATTATTATTCTTCAACCATATATTTGTGTAACGCTTCGGCTCGATGTGTTATGTGAAATTTATTCGTAATTTAATGTTGCCTCGTAAAACCCAGCTGTGCCGGACGATCGGATGCGTCGACCGATTTTGTTCCTATAGCTGGCTGTCAGATCGCTCAGGTAGTCTGACTCCGTATTACGTTACCCGCTTGCACTCGCTCGATTGCGCTCGCTCGCGCTGCCGACCGGACGTCACCTGACTTTAACTTTGTTTCGAATTAATCGAACTCGAGGCATCCGTGGAGAAATGCACTCGTTTCGCGCGAACGGTATTCATTAAGTAAAGTTGATTGCCGTCGCCGTATCACGAGCATTGAATCAGTCAGACGTAGAAATATACTCGAGTAGAATAAATTCTGTTGAATTGATTTTGATAGGGCAAACGTGTAAAGAACATAACTTCGGCGATAATTTTTTAATAAATTCATAAATCCAATTCATCCAATTAACTCTTACAAATTAATATTGATTATTATAGCTATTTATAATAGCCGTAATAATCGATACTAATTTGTAAAAATTGAATGAATTGGATCTATGAATTTATTAAAGAATTATCGCCGTAGTTAAATCCGTTAGAGAGTTGTCCCTTTTATCGATTAATTTTGAGGCCAATTGGAAAGAAATTTGTTTTTAATGATCACATATAATGTAATCAGTATTGGTGAGATACTGCAGGGTATGTGCAAGCACTACTGATTTTTTTTCAACCCCTGTTGCCTCTTTTGATATACTTATAACTTGTCTGTGCAACTTCGTGCCGTCGTACTTATGCTTTAACGAACTGCTTTGCCGATTCTACTCATTAACTATACGTTGCACCGCCTGCAACGAAGTGCACGATTAAATTACTCCCCCGCGAGTATCAGTCGTCAACAACGGGAACTTGGCTCGTTAATGCGGTCGGAAACGACGTAGACCAAGTTCCAAGTTCTTCAACACCCTTATATGGATTAAGTAACGCTTCGTAGGTGTACTCGACTTGAACGGACAATACTGTGCAACGCGATGATTACATTGATTATAACAGTATGCTCTTCGTAAACGATAGAGCGTACACGCGATAATGTGAATGTATGTGCAATATATTCAATTAGAAATGTAAGCAGACGAATAGAAAACATATAATTACAAAAAATTTATATGTCATATTAAAATAATTAAGAAAATTATGTATTAAAACTTTCAGTCTTTTCTGTCCGTGAGAAATTATGATTGCTTTATACTTTCGCACGATTGCGAATATGCTTACATATTTATGTCGTGCTTATTGCATTGAAAATATCTTCTTACATCATGAAAATTTACGTCCTGGAATACCGATCGTAATCTGTTTCGCAATGTGAAACGTGATGACAAAATACTTTTTTGGTTATAAAAACCTAAATTTTTCCTGAGAAAGAATTATTACACAAATTATATCTAAAGTTGACATGAATATAAACAGCATCTACACTACACAAAAATTATTTTTTACTTTTAAGAATTCAATCAGACTACTTTCTACTCTCAAGAACGCTATATCGGTAAGAACAACATTAATTTTGTATTGCGACTTAATAAAATCATTTAATTTAAATCATGTTGAAAATACAAAGATTCGATTAACTCTTGTGCATTTCGAAGGTGCATGCTTGCAACAATAACGAGACAAAGTTGTGGGATCCATTTCGCTCAATTTTCGATCAATGGAGAACAGCAAAGAGCGAATTCTGTTGGATAGAAGTTCGTGTACCGCGCGACCATCAAAACAGGATCCGAACCAGCCAACTTCCACCTCTCAGTGCCAGGTAAATAATAAATATGAACACACACACACACACACACACACACACACACACACACACACACACACACACACACACACACATAAAGAGCAATCTTCTGTATCAAAGTAAAAGAAGGTTCTCGTACGATAATAATCGCAGTACGAATTTCGTGAATTTATAAATTATAGATTGCAATTATAACTTATTAATTATTAGTTGTAATTAAAAGTAAATGTAACAATAAAGTATAATAAAAGTTAATAGCGAATAAATGTAACTACGTGTATATATAGAGTCAATTTTGGAGTTCGTTGCAACCGCCCACGTCCGACTATAGCGCGCAAGATGGCGATGAGTTTGCAAAGGAGGAATCTAATGAACATCTCGAGACTTTGAAATTTGTGTTTCCAAAGAAGGTCAAGGCTCGTGGAAGAAGAAAAGCAAACGTCAACAAGCGTAGAGTCACGTTCGCTGATCATTAAACTCGTTCGCGCGACAAGCATTACGTTACATTAAAAACTGCAGCAAATGTAAATATTGTATTACACACATTCGACCGACGCCCGATCAGATTTTTCTGTGTAATAAGATTTTTCGATTTCAAAGGCGCGAGTACAGATGATGCGGTTTTTATCGTCGGAAAATTCTGTAACCGATATATTTGTTAACGATACTCTCGATCATTAAAAGAAAGATATTGTCACACACACAGTGTCCTTGTTTATGATAATAATATTTTATTTATATTACTTATATTTGACTTATCCAATAATGTCGTCTAGGAATGTGATTTTCTCAAGTTTTTCGATTTGCGATATTTTATTAAGACGTTTAAATATTTACTTAGCCGATCGACTGTCGATTGTTGAATGCAATGTCACTTTTAGAGCGATGTGTTGAAAACTTCAAACCATTTTTGACACTTATAACAAAATTTTCTGTATTATTTCAAACTCTCAAAATTCCAAGTAGATCGAAATTTAAACTAATTTAATTAAATATTACATGAATAAGAACAAACATGAATGGATTCAGGAATTGGGCATTGCATGATCTATCATATATTTTGCCTACTAAATCCTTGCAGGTACTCCACAAAATTAACCTTTCTTCAATTAATAAAAAATTAATAATTTAGTTATAAATAATGTGACAAGAAGATATTAAGTCTTGTAATAACATTTCTAAAAAGTTTTGATAATTTGTCTTTAATTTTTTAAAATAAATTATATATTGAAAATAATATATAAAAATAATTTTAAAAATCTGATCAAAACTAATTTACGATAAAGATAGTAAAATAAATAATAAATATTAATATAAAATATAAATACATAAAGATAACTAAAATTATTTTAAATAGAAAAATATTTAATTGTGTTTATAGATTGAATAATATTTTTCTTTACGACACACAAATTAGCATGAAACGCACGCGTCCACGAATACATTTAAACGTTGTCTTTCAAATTTCCTCAACTCCTCTCGCAAGCAAGAGAATGCTCGTGAGAGCAGAAGAATTAATTTAACAACAGTTTCCAATAATCTGGAACCTATCTTTACAACATGGATGGCATTACCTGAAATCACTATGACATCCTTCAATTCTCGATTGCCCACATATTTTTTGCCTTTGTCTCTCAAAGTGAATACGGAAATAACGCATCCAGAGGCATTGAAACCTCTCATTAAGTACAAAGAGTTATTAGAAGGAAATCCAGTATCTAGAGACAAATACTACAAAAGGCTTTTAAACATTCAGGTTAATGATTTTGATTTTATGTATAACGACAATGTGATAAAACCTAGTAATGTCCACTGCGATGATTGCCGTTCAAAAATAATGTTCACTCTTCAAGAAAGTCAAGAACCCAAAATTAATCATACAATCGAGCAAGAATCAACTGATAATTTATTGATTTGTACCACTGGGAAAAATTTGGATTCTTCGTCTTGCACAAAGTTAAAATTAGAAACAGTAAAAATCAAGCAGCAAGAGTCACGAGATCAGTTCAAATTACAGGACAATCAATATTCACGAAAATATAACTCGTCGCAATCTCTAGAATTTCAGAATTACATGTGGAAAGATCTCTCGAGCACAACGAAGCAAGGGATTCAGTTTTTGCATAATTCTCGATGTGTTTTGCAAACGCCTACAAATATCTCCAAACCATTACCATCTTTACTTGAAACATTGAAAATATCGTCTCGATTTGGTAACTTGACCTACTCCGGAAGTTTGGGAAATCAAGGATTTCGAAATACTTCGTTGTGTCTACCTTCTGTATCGCGTCGTGTTTTCTCCTCAAAAAGTTGCACCGTGATTCAGCAATCTATTCGAGAGTTTGAAAACTTGAAGAAGAGAGAGGATCAGAGCGCGAATACATTGATTATTCGTTTGAGAAATACGCGATCGTATCCAGGTGTCTTGAAGTCTTAGTTATAATAATTCTAAACTTTTTAAATTTATAGCTTATATATAAAGTTCCTGTCTATTCAGTACAGTCATCTTGGATCATGACAAAGCGAGAAAAATACTCTGTATTAAAATGTGATTTTTTAATAAAACAACATTTTTAATAGAATAGAGTTGTAAAATATACCTTTGTATTCTGATAATCAATAAATAACCATATATTTGAAATTAAATTATACCTAACCAAAAAACAAAGCATAAGCTGTATTACAGCTATCAAATTGAGATATGATTTTATTATATTTCGGAATAAAAGAAGAGTTTTCGCGATATTTTACAATACTCTATGAAACACAAATATTGTTTTATTCCAAAATATTTCTATTTTAATATATTTAATATAGTTAAAGAAGTTTTATTTTGAACGTTCCTATTTTAATTTACTTTAAAATTTTCATTATGTTGCTCCGCTTCTGATATTATCGGTCTAAAGATTCGTAACGAATGGACAAGAGCCTTAAATAATCTTCAATTTAACTCTTCGTTGACACACCTCTTTTTTCGGTTCGCTTTTTTACACTGGGTGGCTCACACCCAGAGCAATGTTTAAACAACTGACATTCTTATTTAAAGAATCCAATCAATAGTAAAAAAATTATGGGTCAATTTCAAGGTCTGTAGAATACATTCAAATAGTTTTTGATTGAAATTTCATTACAGTTTTTGCGAAAAAAATTCTTGAATTCAATGAATAGAGAAAAAATGAGTAAAATCTTTGAAAAATTGTAACTTTTAAAAAATTCAATATTAAAAGTTAAAAATTTACAGAATTGTTCACAGATATGATACTTTGAAAAAAAAATTAATTTGTAAGTTGGTTTTGGATAAAGTATTTATTTTGCATATTAAATGTTGGCTATTTTGGGAATTGAAAAAACAGTGATGTTTTTATAAACATTGTATTTTTGTTCTATAAGATAAAAGAATTGAGTTTCAGAGAGAATTAAAATAATTTGTGGGTCACACACAGTATGTCAACGAAGGGTTAATATTGTTTGAATATACATATATGCATGCAGTAATTCAATGGAAAGCGTTGTATAGTTTACAACTATAATAATATTAATACACTAACGATTGATATTTAATGAGACTGACAATCGCAGATCGCGTTTCTCTGATGAGACTGCAATCGTTTTCCTGCGACACTTCAAAGTCGAAAAAATCCGCCGATTGCGAGAAGGATGATAAGTCATATCGATCGAAATGTGAAGATGAGATCGAGAAAGGTTACGACACGTGTTCTCAAGACATTGCGAGGAGCCGCTTTGAAAGTAAAAAAATCTGCGGGAAAACGCGACGGAAGGACACGTGCGTCTCGTCTCAAGATGACATGGGTGAGAAACAACAAGAGAGAAAATCTAAGCTCAACAAAAAGTACATATGTCCCGAACTGAACCGACCAAAGCCATGCACTTGGAATAAGGAGCGATGTCCTGAAACTCATCGGAAGTGTGACGAGAATAAAACACGAGTCTCATCAAAGGATCGCGCACGGCAATCGAGAGATTCGAGTTATTCACAGAAACAAGATATTAACAGAAGATGTAATAAAAGTAAAGCAGATCGACATAATCATTGTTATAGTAGTAATAATTCTCGTTAAGAAATATTAAAATTTAATTTAATATTTACGTATATACTTCATGAAACATCTGAAATTGATGTATCTCATATATTCAGAATAGTAGGTCAAAATTATTATTGTTATTGTCATCATTATATTAATTTAACATTAGCTGTTATTGTCATCATTATATTAATTTAACATTATTATGATTCAGTATTTAGCTTTATAGCACATCTTGATGAAATTCTATACGGTGTATTGATTTGTCCATTCTCTAATTTTCCTGTTTCCTTTTCCATCTATTGTACGTTTTTATATCCTTTCTTCACTAATCTATTAATTTATTTTGGCATTTATCTCTATTTTTTTACTATATGTTTTATTTTAATATCTTAATCAGAACGGCAATCAAAATCATATAAGCAACGTGACGATTGCGAAAAAGCTGATGAACCACGTATAGTCTGTAAAGAGTCTATGAAAAAAACGGATAAATTTGAATCAAGATGCAAGAAGCAACATGTAGAGTGCGACATTAGTGAGAAAGAACGACGAAAGTGCTCCGGAAACAATCGAAAGCGATCTAACAGCTACCGTAAAAGAAATTCTTCCCGAACTAGTGATAAAAGCTGCAGCAAAGTAGACGGAAAGCGATATTACTCAACAAGCGATATTACGAAACAATCAATTTTCTCCGTCCCGCCGAATCGTAAATCTTTCTCCAATTCGATTTCCGATATCATTCGCATAAATGTAAGCAAGAGATTTTATGTTAACTGCAGCAAAAACAAAAAAGATCGAAGACAGGCTCCGTCTTGTGAGAAACCAAAAATGAAGTACGAAACCAAGAAAAAAGAGGAAATTAAGAAAAAGTGCGTGAAAGGTCCTGCTAAATGTATGTCGAGAAAAAAGACTACTGATAAGACGCAAATCTATCAATCTACGAAAAAAGACGAAGACAAGAAATTTTGTGAATCCACGAAAAAATCTCGTCACGAAGAATTTTGTGTCAGCAGAAAAAAAGAACTTAAAAGAGGTAAGATAAACTTAATTTAATTATTTAGCTTAATTTAATTATAGCTAATTATTATACGGAGTGTTTTGAGATCTTAGGGATAAACTTTAAAGGATGATAGATCTTATCAAAAGAAACAACTTTTGTTAAGAAACTTACATTCTCCCCGATGCATTGTTAAAGAGCTATGCGTCCTTGTTTGGACCGGATATGAGATACATAATCGATAGCGCGGCAGCATTACGTTTTCCTCTGACGATACTAATTTAAGTTTTTGCTTTTTTTATTGTCTCTTTGTAAAAATAAAATCAAAGAATGTAAGCTGGCATTGTCAAATATAATGCGACCAGACGTGTAGCTCCTTAAAAATGTATCAGTGTTGACAGTGTTGACACAGTTTTCTTAACAAAAGTTGATTCTTTTCATAAGCTTTACCATTCTCTAAAGTTTGTGTCCAAATTCCATTCCAAAAAATTAAAAGTATGCATAAAGATCTCAAAATCTTTAATTCTTTTTTGTATTATAATTTATAGAAATTCTTCAATTTTACTAAATTTTTAATTAATTTTTTGTTGTTGTAGACGAAAGGCTTAAAAAAGAACCAGTGAAAGCACCTCCATCACTTGTAAAAGGTAAATTCTATGAAAAAATTATGGATTTTTTAATTCTTTCTTTATATTACGATTCATGAAAGAGCAGCAACTATAACTAAATTCTTGTAATAAATTCCTTTAATTGTTCGTTGCAGATAAAAAGTCTATGGGACAATTGATGAAGGAACAGATAGATCGCGAGTATAAAGAGATAGACGAATGCAAGAAGGGCTTCAAAAAAGAGAAAAAGAGCGATAGAGTCAAAATGGTTTCCTCAGAAAAGCCGACGGGCTTGGATCGCATGATCAATTCATATAAAAAACAGGAAAAGCAGGATATCGAAAAGTTTGTAAGCACACGTAACGAATCAATCATTTCTACGGACGCCGTGTTTAAGTGGTTCAACATTCAATCTAGGATTATTAATGGCACGATTCCAATTATTGCCAAGTTAGTTCTCTCGCTTGGATTTTACTTTTGTCGGCAAATGCGTTTTCAAAATTTGAGGACTTGTAATTCAGAAAGAATAATATTCTTTAAAAATATGTTTCTAATATTTTTTATTCTGATTAGTAATTTCTTTGATTTTTTTGTAATTTATGTTATCGAGATTATTCACATTACCCGTTTTATCGTAACTGTACACTTGCGATCAATGATCATTTATTGCTGCAACAACGAGTTATTTCATACAACGTAATTATAGGGATGTCGGACTGTTCAATGTAATGTTTGATCGATCGTTCTCTACTGCGAAACTGGATTATCAGGATGATTTTGCTATCGGACGAACTATGAACGATGATAAAATAGTTCAGAACTATTCCGCGAATGGCGACGATTTTATTCATGGTGATGAATTGCCGAATTATATTGAAATAGAGTATGAGGACGAAGAAGATGACGTTCACGAGGATCACTAACCGACCGGTCTCCAAAATCAATTGAATCTTACGCAAAAGTCACAGTAAATATTAATTTAATATAAGTAGTAAAAAAAATTGTATTACAATTGTTTTACACTTTGTCATAATATCTTTGTCATGATATCTTTGATGAATTGTTGGTAATGTAATAAATAAAAAATTAATCCGGCTTGTAATGTGACTGTATTTTGCTCTTTTCAAAATATGCACTTAAAAAATATCTGCGTTTTTTTCTTTCAAAAAACAATGCCTGCAAGCACGCAATTTTCTTATGACGCAATGATACATATAAACATAACTACTTTCCTCATATATGAACATATAATGGCGTTGGTAAATATACATTTACATACGAAGGTATCTCGTTTTCAGTCAAGAACATTGTGATCTTTCTGATTATACAGTAATCAATTACTTCACGACATTACTTCGCTATAAATAGTAGTTGATCATCCCCCAATAATACTTAACCAGATTTCACTTTGTAGACGATAAGATAAAATTACTCTTCAGCATGACTTGGACGATCGTCGATTACTCCCCGAGGGACAAATACGAGTTGAACGAGTGAAACGCAAATGCGGAGCCTTACGGGGGTTTTGCTCCTTCACGAGACGTCTTTGTATCGCGACGGAGGCGTGAATGGCAGTGGGCCAGGAGGCCCAATTATGAGTTATTCAGTCCTCGCCACGGGGTATCGCGGTGCCGCTCTACCGTCGGTGTATGCACCTACCTGGCGCCTCCCCCTTCATTTCGCGTGAGAGCGAGAAAGAGCGAGAAAGAGCGTGCAAGCTGCTGGGACGCGAGACGGGACGACGGGGGTTGAAACGCGGGATGTATGGGGTAGAGAACGTGAGGACGTCTCTGCGGGATTCCCTCCGCCACTTATGGGAATGCGATACGAGCTTTTCGTCGGATGCTCTCTTGCGTTTTCGCATTGTTACGCAACCGTCCTTCTCGCGTCCGCGTCACCCTCGTGCACTCCGACAAAGGGAATCAATGTCAATGCGCCGTGCCATGTTCATGCTCTGGAGAGGACAAGGAAAGTGAGACTGCTGAAATGATGATTGAGAGTATGTAATAAACACGGATTAAAATCGTTATGTTATGCTATAACGATCACGCGAAGTGTCAGTTCCGAGTTTTTTAAATTTGTCCAGCAAGGTTTTTCGAATTCTTACTATTTTGATAATATAATCATTCGATTTGTGCAATTATTCTATATTTGTTATCATCTCTTTAACAAGAAATTAATTAGAAATTTATAATCGATAAAACCGATTTGTAAAATACACTGAAAACTCTTCTTTCATTAATTGATAAATAGTCACATATATACATTAAAAATGATGTTCAGCAAAAAACAGAAATAAGTATAGACAGCTGTGACAAATTTTCAAATTAATAATATATTAAAATAAATATGATTTAATTTTTATTGCCCGTGAGATAAAAAATGTATTGGTTTCCAAATTATTTTTAATAAAATAATAAGTCTAGTCTATATCAATTGCAAATGCAGTTTATTAAAAAATTTATTCTCATTTAAACATTTCTTTTCATCGATCCAATTTCGTATTATAATTATTTATTGAAAAATATTTCTATTCAAACATGGTTTGCAAACATTTTTATCACGTGTTTTCTTGCTTTTGACGTTATGTTCTGATCTGAGATAATAGTGATGAATAAATAGAAGCCCACACTTCAATTATTTCTTAATTGGAACTGTACCGATTTGATGTTTTTATGATGAGGACATAAACTATTCTTGAAGTGAAGAAAAACGCATGTATCAAAGTTACATGATGTTTTCATGTTTTGTAAATAAAAATAATCATGTTGTATTATTAACTTCCTTCCGTTCTTCCAAGTTGTGACTAAAAATATCATACCATTAAATTAAAAAAAAATCTAAAGTTTCCTTTATACTTTTCGATCTTCGCTATCTCAATTTCATTCATTTTAGCGAAACTGTCTGTATCGTGCTCGATCAGACATGCGAAGTAAAGTGACGGTAAGGACATCATGACGAATGCGAATCGGCGCAACTTATTGTCCCATCAGCAAGATCGAGCGATCGCGGCTCTTTAGAACGAATCGAGAGGGTTTCTTGCACGTCACATTATGGTGTCAACGACTTCTTCGTGGACCACAAACCGCTGGCATCCGTGTATCGAGAATGAATGGCGTCGCAACGGGTGGCAGGGAGGCGTATACAACTCGAATAAAATGTATCAATTCCGTCCTCATGACGCCGGGGTTCCTTTCCTCGAGGATCGATTGTGCGCTCCTTGAAGGACGGAAGTCCCGCAACGGACAACGTCTATTATTAGTGCGCGATGTTGTTCAATTATGCGAATTACACGACGAAATTGGCTTAATAAATATTGTATATTGTATAACGTAAGAGTTTTGTTCGTTATGCCTTCTAATGTTCATTTTTATCTACCAATGTAAATTAACATTAATCTCGATTTAAATTAATCTTTATCTTTTCAAAATTTTCATTAGAAGAAAATAAAAAATGAATTGAAGTTAGCATTTTTATAGGATGAAAAAGTCGCTGTAGTACTGAAACATTATATTTTGAAGCAAGAAATACAATGAAAATAATGAATTACAACGAATGTTACTCAGAAAACATTGTACATATAAGATTTAAAAATGGACCCTGTCAATTAAAGGTTAATCTATAATATATTGATAAAAATAAATTAACAGAAAATTTTTTCTTAGATCTTAAGCAATTATAACTTTGTTTCGAATCTTTTATATTAATAACAGTATTAACACACATATATGCTCACACGCGAATACAGGGGAGATTAGATATAACTAGGAAGATTATAGTCGCTTGATAGCCGTTCATTTAAAGATATACATACTGTATCCGTCGGCGCTACTTCGCCGTCGGTACATCACGATGGAAGTGAAATTCTGCATTACACGATTTATTCGATTACAGTCACACACACACACACAGCTAGATCTCCTTTCATATTTTTACTGTTAGTTATGCATGTTTAACACATTGTTGCACAAAGAGAGAGACGAATGTAATAAGACTGGTCAATGCATCTTCGTAATGCAACTCCATGATGCAACCGCAATGCGAAATATCAGAATTGATGAACACAAGTTAAAACAGAAAATTCTGTATTCTCATGTTCGTCCTTTTTTTACGTTTCAATATTGCGTTCTCAAACTAAGGATAGAAAAGACAGAAAAGAAAGAAAGGGCGGAAGGGTTCAGATGTGTTCCTACCAGATGAAGAACGTCAGTCCCATGTCAGTTCCCTCGCAAGCAGAGCAAGCAAACCAATGACATCCTCTCATGTAAGGTCTTTATACGCATTATTTTAGGCATATTTTCTTAAAGATATTGAGAAAAATATTTTAAAAAACAATGTATTGTGACGTTTTCCTGTTTGCAGGTTTTATTGTATTGTGGGAGGGCTCCGATTGCACACATCGCATATTGCACACATGTATCGCTGATTGGCCAATTTAAAAATAAAATAATCTCATTGGCAAAACAGTGAAAAATTACTAGGCACTAGTTGATATGAATGGTGTGTACAATCAGAACTGTAGGCAAACGGGATCCTCCCAACTGGAAGCTCTATAGAATAAATTTAAATTTATATTTGATTGCCATAGAATTTTGTCATTAGAATAAGAATAAAAACTATAAAATTTGTTTTTTGTAAAATTGTAATATCGTGTTTGCATTTACTTGTTTGAAATTGAAAGAAATTTATTTATCAAATTCAAACAGAGAAAATGTCAATTTATAAATAAATATGAAAAATATTAAAATTAAAAATGGTAAATTTTTTAATTTATTTTTATCATATTTTTGAAAAAATTAATTAAATATATAATTTTCACATAAAAATAAAATTAATTAAACATTTTTATATAATGTAGGCATAAGAAAAGATTTATACTTTTATAGAAAAATATAATTTAATATTTCTTCTTTGTATGTGATACTTTTAAAAATAGTTACCTTTGTATAAAGAAATTCCGCAAGATTTGCAAATAAAGTATTTTTTCATTATATATATTACTTAAAACGCTTTATATATATAGAAGAAAAAAGTCACACAAGATAATTTATTTTAATTTTTATATTCTATACTAAAATACATTTTGAAAACAAATTCATTTAATTTTTTGTGTGTGGTCAACAGTATAACTACGATTCTATTTAACTCATTTTGATTAATTTAAACTTAAAAAGACATATTACTACATCAGCACCCATTCAAAGATTTTAAAAAGATGTATTATTACATCAACGCGGTAATCAACTACATTTTATAAAAAGATGTACTACTATGTTAGCGACTGCGAATGTGTTAATTTCTTTGTAATTGTTTCTATTTTACTTTTTATTTTTTATTAATTTTTATAATCTATGATGTCATAACTAATTTGTTTCTATAAGGGATTAACGAAAATCGGCGCAAAAAGGGAATATATATAAAATTTTTATTCTAATGTCAATTAGTTAAGAAAATAATGTAGAAAGTGGAGATTACTTCGATCCAAATTCCAGTTGTTTGTTTTTGTAGGTAAGCTTATTTTTTTTTAAATTCAAAAATTAGTAGTCTATCTTGTATCCACGTTTCCTTTGATTTTTTTCTCAAAAGGCACCGCAAACAGTGCAAACACTCGACAGAACGACATGATGTATCACCGACTTCGCCATCACTGCTTTCTCCCATCGGACGTTGTGTCGGCGATTTCACTGTAGCGGCGGACCGTGTGCGACGTGCGTTATTCTAGCCCGAGCGCGCGGTGCCTTAAGTAACGCAAAAACACGAGCGAGCGCTCTGTCCGTGAAACTTTATCCAACTTCTGTTGTAAGTAGCTTCTAAGCGACATTACCTTTCTTCCGCGAGGGCGTTCATAAACCCCGCGAGTACTATAAATCGATTTTTCCCCCGGGAAGGATAAGTCGTTGCTGCCACTCGCGCGTCCCTCCCTCTCTCACCCTCTTCGCCTATCCTTTCCCACCCCGTGAGCACCGCTAATAAGTCGTCTAATAACCGAGATCTTTAGTGCTTCCTTCATTTATTTTCCTACACGTCGCTTTTCCTCATAATTCACTTCCATCATGAATAATATAATGCCATATTACAGCATTTTGTTTTTTATCATAGCTTGTTCAATTCATGCTATCAGAGTGACTCTGATAGCATGATAACGTCGCAAATGATTGTGTTGTCATACAGAAAAAACGGTTTTGTTGAAAGATTTAAAAATTCAACTTGATACAGAGCTGAAAATAAATTTTGTTGGACTATCAAAATAATTGATTACTAGAATGTGAAAATTTGTTGCAGCATATTTTTATCATGCTAGAGTTCTCTACACAATTTTATTTTGATGATCCAACAAAATTATTTTCAGACCTGTATCTAATTGATTTATATAAATTTTGTAATACTTTAGCAAAATCGTTCTTTCCGTGCGCGTCCCGACTCTTTTTATCTCGCGAATGGTGTGTGTAAATAAATTCGCTAAATGACGAATTTAAATTTTGAACTTAGACTTTTCTCGCGATGCTGCGACAAATTTCATAATCTGTTTTACTCTAAGTCACTTGTCTATACGAAAAGAATGGTGCTGAAGTATCTTAAAATTTAGTTAAGTACAAATCTGAAAATAATTTTGTTGGATATCAAAACAATTATATTACAGACATTCAATATTCATAATGTGCAATTGTAAGAAGTTTTAACATTCTGGCAATCAACATCCTAATACATAATTATTTTGACGATTCAGCTATGATAATCCAACATTTTAATTCACACTGCGTGTATCTAGTTAAATTTTTTAACTATAGCACTTTAGTGAAAGTTCTTTTTATATACGATATATTACTACATTACACTTCGTCAGTTGATCGCATTTAATATGTATGTGTATATGTGACTCAGCTCTATAACAAATCTGTAATAATAATCTCTATTAACTGATGCGAGAGAAGAAACGTTAATCTGTAGCAATAACAGCAATATGTGCTTTCTCATCCTGCTTTCGTTCTTCAATCTACATATACATTTTTGGCGTCCTTTTTACAATCCATTCGAGACTGTCCGACAAAAAAGTAAATAATTGACGAGGAACTGTTCTATACGTATACCTGTGCGTGATTTCGAGATTTACATACGGATAACATTCGCGCCACGCATCGACGTAAAAATCGCGTCGTCCCGCCGTGCGTGCGTCATTAAGAGAACAGACATCCAGAAAAGGCCGGAATTTAACGAGCTCCTCGGAAGGATCTGCAGTCTAGATGCAATTCGCTCGCGTGTCCTCTCTCTCTCTCTCTCTCTCTCTCTCTCTCTCTCCCCCTCCCTTTCTCTCCCTCTCTCCCTCTCTCTCTCCCTCCCCTCTCCGTTTCTCTCTCCCTTTCTCTTTCTCATCGCTCGTGCCGGACGTTCGTAACGAGGCTCATTTGGTGGCGCGCACGCGACCAATGGCGCGGCGGTATGGTGGCTGTGGCCATGCCCAGCGACCAATAGCGTCACGCGTCACACAGCTGTCAGCTTGACCACGCCCCTCACCAATCCGTACCGCGTCGCGCATGACGCACTCGGCTCGCCTCGCTAACACGCCGCGTCGCCAGTCCCTTCTGATGCGCGCGTGAGGAGTGTTTCTCTCTCGCGCGGCAGCGAGAGAGACAGAACGGCCTCATTGATCCACCGCCTCGCGAGGTCTGCTTGTTGTCCAGACGTGATTTAGATCAAGATCGCCGAATTGGAATCATTCTTGAGAGACGGATCTGGTGCGTGTGAAATCGCAAGTGAAATCGGAAGTGAATTCGTGCGGACTCTTGCCGGAGAGCCACGGTACTCCCGGTTCTTCCTAGCACAGTCGGTGTTGTTTCTTTGTTGATGAGTACCTCGCTCGAAACGACGACGGGTTAACCGAGTGAATCGACCGAAGAAATCGTCCGGGTGGAATTTTCCGGGCACACCCGTTCTTCGCGAAGGCATGATGCTGAGAGACCACCGCAGTCGAAGACCAGATTCTTAGCTTGCACCAGAGGTCATTTAATACTCGAATCAGTGCCGATTCTTATAAGCTCTTCGGACGCACGATATAGCAAGAATGTGAAAATGCAATAGCCAAGGATTATCTCCATCGCCCCAATACTTCGTTAAGAAGAGTGAAAAAAAGCGTCGCATTTATTCTGCGTACAGAGAGGCGCCATTAAATTGTCAAGTGGTATTCGAAAAGAAAATTTGAAGGTGAAAGAGCAGTTTGGTGACATTTTCATGGAGAGAGCGTCACGACGAGAGGCGTCGATGGGGTTCAAGGAGAGCGAGAGAGACGCTCTTTA